CCCCGGGCGCCTTTTCCCTGCGCTGATTGTGCCTTGCATCCTTTTTTTGTAATAAATTGTAGCCATGAGTGTGATCATCTGCTGTATCCTGTGAGTCTTCCTATTGAATCGTCAAACTGGGAGTGGTCTTGGGGACCCCTGACACCCCAGCTCTCCAACAACATCAGTCAATGGCTCCAACTCAGTACCCACTTCACTCCCCACTAGTGCCCTCAGATTACATAGACCTAGCTAAGGATAATTTGCTCACACTATTTTGTGAACAGGTTTTATTATTGTAATCAAGAAAGATAAGAGCAATACATTTTATTTTGAATATGTACTTAGGTTTTTTACTCCTTGATCTGATTTAATTTTTCCTTCCTTTAGTGACTGAGACAGGACCAACTTGTGAAGGTACTTTTTTAATTTTACAGATTTAAAATATGTTTCTTTTCTGATTTTGAAACATTGCTGGCTGTTATTCTGTTCCTGAATACATCTAAGCTTTTGTACCAGTAGTTCTTTCTGTCTGTGATGCTCTTCCCATGGCTTTGTATACCTGGCTCTGTGTTTTCAGTGAGTTCTCAGCCTAACTTCTGCCTCCTCAGAGGGGCTTTCCCTGACCACACAATTTAAAGGAACCCCCACCCACCCCCCACAGATCACCCTACTTTGGTTTCATCATAGTACTCATTTCAACCTGATACTCTATTCACACCTTGTTTATTTAGTGAAAGCCTCTTCCCTCTGGAATATAATTTTTCACTCAAACAAGGATTTTGTTTGATTTGATCAGCATTTCATTCTTAGTGCTAAAACAATGCCTGGAAGAAAAACTAGGCATCCAATAAATATTTTTGGATAAATGAATAATTAAATCACTTGACTAAATAAGTAACACTTTGGAAAACTCATTTAACAGCTTTCAAGAGACTGGCTCAATTTTTTTTTTCTGTTACCACACTCCCTGTGTTCCCCCTCAGGTTCTTCTTTCGCCAATGGACAGTCATGTGTTTTATTCGACCAGGCCCCCAAAGCAGCCAAGCAGGCAGATGGAGAAGAAACATCTTTAATCAGTGTCAAGTAGGCACTATTCTCTTAATTTGAAAGGGCCAGCACTGTAATTCAAACATCATCCAATCTCTTGGCATCTTACAAAGTTTAACTTCTACAAGAAGCCAGGAGGCAATTATTATGGATTTTACGGTGCATATCGGCAGGGTAGATGTCATTAAGATTCACTTTCTGGTAGTTCCTGTTCAATTCCTTCTGTGAAAGGCAGTGGATTTCTCTTGTCTTCTTCAATTTAGATTTACTGAATTTCTGAATCTCAGCCATATCTTATTTGTCAGATATTTTGGCAGATTAAGCAATAATAGGGTACACAAAAGAAAGTCAGACTTCCACAGTAGCTACTCTACCCACCTTTCTGACATCCCCGTCTTCCATTCCAGCCTCTGCTGATATTGCATTATTGTTATTCTCCTTGGACCCCAAGGATTTCCTCCTGCCCCTCCCTAACTGCACCTGTCTTCAATGGTCAGCCTTCTGCAATCCTCCAACTGTGAGATTTTGGGGCTCATTTTTTACCACCGACCTTATACCTCTATTTCTCCAGCTCTCAACTTCACCCAATGTCTGTATCTCCGATGGCTTGTGGGCATTTGTACTTGGAGTTTCAACCTTTAGCACAATAGGTCCAATACCTAACCTATCCCTTTTTCCCCAAGGCAGAAACTCCTTTCATTTCCCTGCTTCTGCTAATATACACTATATATTTTAAGAATAACAAATTTGAAATCATTTTGACTCCACTGTCAATACACCCTTTGCAGTCAGTTATCATAAAACCATATAAATATCTTATTAGCTGGTCCTTCTTTACCATTCCTTTCACTAAAGCACTAGCATGGATTGACTGCACAGAAGTCCATGATTACTGCACAACCTCCCAATTCAGGGTCTCTCAAAGTGTGGCCCAGCCACCCTTCCAGAAGAATCACTTGAGGAGCTTGTTAAAATACAGAGTCTCAGACACCATCTGAACCTTGACCTGCAGAATTAGAATTTCTGAATGTGGGGCCAGAATTCTGCATTTTAACAGTTTATTCAACATAATTCTCAAACTAGTTTTAGAACATTTGAAATTCTCTCTACCTTGTATCTCCACCCTGATCCAAATTGCTGGGCACCTGTCTATACACAGTTTACACTGGGTCACACCTCTGGTTAAAGACTACCACCTTCTATCTGATATATTTGCATGCATTTGGCAGCATAAAATGAACTTTAATGATAATAACTCCCTCACTTTATAAAAGAAAAGGAAACTGAGACGCAGAGAGGTTTTCAGCTATGAGGTCGCAGAGTAGATAAGTGGCAAAGCCTGAACTAGATTTTAAGTCTTGTGATTTCCAAGCTATGCAGAGAAGAGTTCACATAGCAGGTCTGACTGCTAGACTTTGAAAGGCCTGCTTCTAAAGTTGCCCCTTGGATTGCATCTGGGAACTTCAGTTTGGGAGGGTTTCAACTATTCCCAGAACCGATAAAAGTGATTCACTGTGCCTAAAATGTTTTACAAACCATATGGTTCAAACACCTGATTTCCTTCTGGGAGTCTAGAATTTGGGTACATATCAAACAGAGGGTGCTATCTGGCCATCCTCCAATAAAGTCCCTGGCACCAGGTTTCTAAGGAGCTCCCCTGGTGGGCACCATTTCACACGTGTTGTCCCAACTTGTTACTGATGGAACTCAGTGTGTCCTGAGTGAGTCTCCTGGGAGAGGACTCTTGGATGCTTGAACCTAGTTTCCCTCAGACTTTGCTACATGTGCCTTTTCCCTTTGTTCATTGTCCTTGGCATATTTCCACTGTAATAAATCATAGCTATGAATATGATTATATGCTGAGTTCAGTGAACCCTCCTGGTGAATCATCAGACACAGGGGTGGTCTTGGAGGTCTCATGATACAAAGCCGATGCTTCCCATAGCTTACTTCATTGCCCCTCTCATGGGCTGTTTAGAAAAGGCAGTAGGGATAGTCAAAACAGCATGATCTTTAAAAAAAAAAAACCAGCATGATTTAAATGCTGACTTAGCTGTTAAGCTCCATTACTTCTCTGAGTCATGGTTTCATCATCTATAAAATTGGGCCAATAATACTTACTTTGTAAGGTTGTTACAAAGATTTAGAGATAATAGTCCAAGAAGTCCATACAGACTTTAAGGAGGAGCTTTTTTTTTTCCTTCAGTCTTTGGATAAAATGGAGTTATCAAAAGGAATTCTATGGATCCAATTTTATGTATTCATATATACAGAAAACAATGGGATTAATTATGTGGACTAAAAAGTCCCAGTCATTTGGAACTTGTGAGCAGATTGCTTTTCTCAGGATCTATATAGAGCTCCTCCAGCTAAGGATATATAGTGGGAATTCTTGTACGGGAGCGAGCACAGGAAAGAACATGTTCATACTCATCCTCAGCTTTCCGCCCATGCTTGGCTAGCTGTCTCTTGTTTTTGGAGTCCTTCCTACTGCACTGATTTCTGGGCCCTGACCTTTTTCTGGCAGCCAGTCTGCACTCCTTAACTCTTTATTGGGTGCCAGCTCTTCCTCCAACTGCACTCTTCTCCAGCCACTAGTTCACTCATGACTCATTAACCATCATTCACTTGGTTCTATCTGGAGGATCTCCACTGAAACTTCTCTCCTGGCTGTGTCCCTGGCTTCATCCCTTAACCTGCTTGTAGTATTTGCTCTTGAACAAAGTCTACTGAACTTTTGTGGAAGCAGAATTATCAGGCAAATATAATCCCAGTCAGAGGAATAAAAGATCATTTATGGTTATTTATTCTTTTTCTCCCTCACATCCAGAAGATGAACACAACACTTCTTAATACTAACATTGTCCCATCTGAAATAATGTCACTAAAAGGTTTAAAGTTATTTCAAATCTCTTCAGCAATTCAAATGAGGTGTATTCTTCAGTATATATGGTGTAGCAGCCATAAAAAGCAGACAGTGTCTGCAAGGGATTACTTTACAGCACATGATTTTCAGGAGAAAATCATTAGTCTCCAATACCAAGGGCAAAATATTTAAAGAAAGACATTTGCTCTGTATTTCTCAACCAGACATAATATAATGGTGAGAGCATTTCATTGCATGGGGAGTCAGAAGGCACATGTTTCAGTGTTCAACTATAGTATAGTGGTTAAGAGCCTTCTCCCACCTCTACTTTCATCTAGGTAAGGGTGAGCTACTAGTACTTGCCAATAGAATGTGACTGGAACTAATTGTGCCACTTCCCTGCTAAGGTGGCTTTGAAGCAAGTTTCCCTTCTCCATGCTCTCTTGCCCTAGCTCCTGGATAGATGTTGACACCCAAGGTGATCTTGGAGACCATGTGTTGAAGATGGTAGAGCCACTCTCATACAGTCCCTGAATAGCCAAATAAGTAATCAGTCCTTCCCTCTTACCTGTCAGGAATATTGGCACTATATTAAGCTAGTGACATTTTGAGATTTTGTGTTATAGCAGCTAGTATGTCCCTAATTAAGTTGTTTCACCTCTTTAAGCCAATCTATTTGGGTTGTTATAAGGATTAAGTGAGTTAAAATAATGCATGATTCATAATAAATGCTCGATAACCATTAGCTATTAATATTATATTACCTGCTCTGATGCTAACTAGTTATGAGTCATCGAACATGTGAATTTTCCTGGACCTGCATTTCTTCAATTGTAAAATGATTTCTACATTTCTTTACGTTTGAAATTTTATAATTAGAAACCTCTTCATATTGCTAAGAAAAAAATTATCGTAACTCATGGAAAGTGGCTAGAGGATGAGGGAGAAGCATTCAGAACATTAAGTACAGAGGGAGAGAAGGAAAACAGAACAGTGCAAAGGGCACTGAGGGGAAAACCACATTACTTAAAGAGAAGCATATGTTCTTTTTGAAATGTATCCATTGCTTTGGAAATAAACTTTAAAGAGAAGAAAATTTACAAACCGGGCTGTGTCCGTGAGACTTTCATTCACACCCAAATGAATATCTTGTGTGGTAAGAAAACAAGGGTGTCCTCCTAGAAGTGCAAAGCCTACAATAAAAGTAAGAGAAGAAAAGCATTTTGAAAAAAAGAACCAATGCAGGAAACAAAATCATGAGGAACTGGCATGTATCAGTTGAAAAAGTCAAAATCTTTAAAGCTCTCCAACCTCTGTGATAGGAAATTCCCAAGCAAAGCAAAATGAGGAACCAAGGGAAGTACATGAAAATGATACCTCATTGGAATGCTACTCAGTAACGAAAAGGAATGAACTGCTAATACACACAACATGGATGAATCTCACAAGCATTAGGCTGAAGGAAAGAAGCTACACACAAAAGAGCAGACAACATATAATTCCATTTATATGAAATTCTGGAACAGGCAAAAGTATTGCAGTGGTAGTTTTAAGTGACTAAAAGTCAGCAAAGTCAAAGGGTCATTCTACTGTTTCATTTATCCTCCAACCAAGACAAAGCTAAGCACCATTCACGTATTACCCTTACCACATTTCAACTCTCCATGGAATGTGAGGTTATTGTAGACATCTGAGCAGATGAGGATAGCTCCTACCCCATTCTCATCTTTTTTGACTTTTGTCTGAGTAAGATGGGCAGCCATTGGAGGGTTGGCGTAAAGGAATGACAAAATCAGACTTATGTTTTAATAGAACATGTGTAGTGGGGCAAGGGCAGAAGCAGGGAGACTGACTGGTCAGGAGACTATTGCAAAAATCTGGGTGAGAGTTGGTAGCTTGGGCCATGGTAGTGGCAGCTGAAACAATGATTGGATTCTTGAAATATTTTGAAAGTAGGGTCAGCACTCAGCTGATGACCTTGCCCTCAAGTCACTGAAAAAAATGGTAGCAATCAAAGAACTTCCAGATTCCCCCTCCCCATTTGCCCACCTGCCAACCTCTGTACCCCTATTCTGCTTTCCTTGTTAAGTGTAGATGAATCTTTCGTGCCCCATGTATGCACTAGAAGCTGTAGCCTGCTTGCCTACTCAAGAACATTGCTCTAGTGGGTTCTTCCCTTCCTCCCTTACATTACCTGCATCTTGAATAGGATATTCTCATTTTTTCACTCATGAATTAAAACAACTGTAAAGTTTCTCTTGCCTCGATTTCCCCTACTAAGGTATCCCTTTACTTCTTCGCCCCCTTGGCAGCAAAACTTTGGTTTTTCTTTCTCTCTCAGTTCCTCTTTTCTCATCTCCCTCAACCTATTCCCATAAGGCTTTGGCTCCCTGTAACACTGCACCAAAGCTTCTCTCAGCAAGGTTACCAGTGACCTTCACAGAGCTACATCTAGGGCCATTTAGGTTCTCATTTTTCTTGACTTAGCAGCATTTAACAAAGTTTGTTCACCACCTTCTCTTTGACAAACTTCCTTTACAGTTCCTTCAGGATACCACACCTTCTTGCTTTTACATCTGCCTTGGTAGTTGCTGCTTTGCAATCTCCTTTGCTAGTCTCTTCTCTTTTCCTTGACCTCTTCATGTTGATATGTCCTAGGGCCAGTCCTTGGTCTTCTTCTCTCTATCCCTTTATAATCCCATCAAGTCCCATGGCCTTAAATATCATCTACATGCTGATGACTCCCAAATATCTCAGGCCAAAGCTCACTTCCATACTCTAATATTCAACTGCCTTTTCAACATATTTGTTCGTGTGTCTAATAGACATCACGAACTCAACATTTCCAAAACTGAAGCCAGTCTTCCTGTCCATCCTGCTTCACCTAGTCCATCCTGCTCACAGTTGCTTAGACAGAAACCTTGAAGTCATCCTTGATGTCTCTATTGACTGATACATCAGAAATCTTGTTGGCTCAACTTTCAAGACATATCCAGAATCTGTCACTCTTACCCCTTCCTCTGCTACCACTTTGGCTTGAGTCTCTAGGTACTATAGCTACCTTGACACAGGCTTCACTGCTTCTCTCTTCTCTCTACTCCATGCACCTGCAACTTATTCCCAGCAGAGCCATCAAAGAAATCCTCTCAAAATATAAGTTAGATCATGTCCCTCCTTTGTTCAAAACCCTCCCAAGATTTCCCATTTCACTCTGAATAAAAGTCAAAGTCCAAACAATAGAGTACATGCTTTTCCCTCAGTTCCGGACACATTCTTCTCCTTGCTGAAAGCACTTAATACTTTCCAACATACTGTATCATTCACTTATTTACTGTATCTATTGTTTATGTCTGGGTAGCCACAAGAATGTAGGTTCCATGAAGGCAGGGATTTTCCTCTGTTATGTTCACTGATTTTTCTGTTTTGTATCACACTCAAGAACCTAGAATAAATACTGGTACATAGTAAGTGCTCAACAAATACTTGATGAATGAATGTAGAAGGGATTTTGACTCTGGAAAGAGGACCCATTCTTTTTATTTCCAAACATCTCCTAATTTTGTTAACAGAACTTGATTTTCTATTATGTGTGAAGTGAGCTAGTAGAGTTTAATGATGATTATAATCAGTAATTGCTCTTGAACACTTAATATGTTTCTAAAGAGGGAAAGTCACCTAAACAAATATGAGTACTGCACATTCATCAAGAAAGTATTTACTGCACAGACTGTATGCCTAACACAGGGATTAATGTCATTGAGGGTTGAGGTCTATTTAGGAAGGTTCCAAACAAAGTTCAAGACCTAGCAGGTCTGCTCCAACTTGTACTCTTACTCTGACTAGAAGTCCTTTTACTGTAACAACCCAGGATTTGTTTGTTTTCTTTTCATTTCTCCCTTTGTACTATAAAGAAGATCACCATCAAGCCTGGACTTAGGAGGTAGGGGTTGGAAGAAGGGTGATAGGAAATATTAAGAAGTAGGAGTCAAGGCCTTCAGCAATTCTTGAAGGAGATAAAATGAGGGGACACTGCCTCAAAGAAAGAATTGCTTCTGCAATTTTGGTGACAGATCAAAAGAAGCCTCAGACCCCAGTCCAGTCTAAAGCACAAATCAAGCATTTGCCAGTCGATCAGACCTGGATGGCAATAAGTGCTTTGGGGAGGGTGTCAGATGTTCTATAAGGTCACCAGAAGCTGCCGTTGCTGAGGACAGGAGGGCAGAAGGATAGGTCTCTGCTTCCTCTTCACCCTTAATCCAGAGAAGTCTGCTTTTATATGTTTCTTTTGTTAATGTGTTCACATCAGATATTTTGGAACAAAGGATTTCTGCTGTTAATATCTTAATTTCTGTCTGGGAAAATAAAAGTACATCTAATTTTGGTCTTTCTTTTCCTCACAGATACCTGCACAAGCTTTGAAAGAAGGTATATAAATTGAATTCATACACTGGGAATAGGAAGGCACTGGGGGCTCTTGCTGGTAGAACTAAGGCAGTCATTAACTTCTCTGTGCATCACTTTGATACCTGCAGAAAAGCACCATGATTCTTATATTGCCACCTTTGTAAAGATAATGAACTTGAAATAGCTTGGAAAGTACCAGCTTCTATTTCACCTTGAAAGTCAAATACCAATGTTAAATAATGAAAAGACCCATCTCTTAGGACTCCTAGGACTCCTGCACTCACCAAGATTAATAAATGTATCCATCTATCTACTCAATTCATTTGCTAAGAGAATATAATCATCAGTAACCCACAGGAGAATCGAGCAGTTTGCCAGGCAGGCATACACAAAGAGTGGGTGAGCAATGAACGATCTAAAAATTCACACAGCGACATCGGTACATCTCACAAACAGAACGCTGAGCAAAAGAAGCCAGACAAAAAGAGCATATGCTGAATGGGTCCATTTATATAAAGTTCAAAAACAGGCAAAATTCATCCTGTGAAGCCAGGATAATGGTTACCCTTGGGTGGGGAGAGTAGCGACTGGAAGGAGATATAAGGGAGGGCCACTGGGTGCTACTAACATCCTGTTTCTCTATCTGGGTATTAGTTACAATAATGTGTTCACTGTAAGAACTCACTGAGCTATACACTTCAGGATTTGTGCACTCTTTGTAGGCATGTTATACTTTAATAGAAATAGTACATGAGCAGTTAATATGGCTCAAGTTGGGTGATGAATTTTATTCTGTCCCCTGAGGTAAGTAGAAATACTACTGTATCTCTGCAACTCAGGCTTGGGATGAAATCTTCAAGGCCATCCTGTGAGGATCACCTCAACCCAGAGGCTGGCACAAATCTGGGGCAGTGATAGACAGTTTACATCCTGTTTTCAGTCTAAATACCAAGGTAGGAGGTTTTGATGAATTATTAAGATGCACATGCACACAAGAGGAATCCTCTACCATGTTTTGGGTTGAGGTTTACTGTTTCCATAAGCATTCAAAGCAACTACTTACTCTGATGGATTCTCCTACCATTGAGTTTGGCAGAATGCCATATGAAATTAGCCCCATGGGTATTTATGAGGATAACGATGAATACTCTGTGAACTGTGACGTTTGATGGTCATATGTTCCTTTCCTCATGTATTTGTGGTTACAGTTTGCAATTCTGTGTAGGTTTCAGAGCACTTATTTATAGAAAACCATAATTTAACAGAATGCTTACTGCCTCCTGTAGAAACAATTTTCCTGGAATAAAACATGACTATTACATGTCTGAATTAAATTAGATATTTTAAAAATACATTTAATATTAGCTTCCAGTCCTCACTCTGCCATTTATTAGCTATGTGTCTGTGGGCCATTTGCTGAACCTGTTTTAGCCTGTTTCTCTCTTACCCTTATAAAGTTGTCACAGGATTAAATGAGATTATCCATGTAATTAATGAAGAGCACTTGGCACAGGGTCTGAACCCAAAGGCTTATGAAGTCTTCACTCCTGGTTTTATTAATTGCTTAACTGCCACATTAAATGTAAATGGCAAAACTAATCACTTATTCAGGGACAGTGATGGAAAAAATAACATTTGAACAGAGAAAAGTGGTAGAAAACAGCAACAACTAAGAAAAACAAATTTTAGAAAACTTGAAATTGAGAAATTTCTACCTACTAATAATGGCTTCTCTTGATGACTTCAAAAAGAACACCTATCTTAAGTACTAACAGGAAAAAAATGGTAAAGTAAAATACAATTCTGTCCAGTTTATGGAAGACAAGTGTTGAAAGGAAGCAGAATTTGAAAATTACTGGCTGGTTTACACACGATGTGTTTTTCCTTTACTATATAGTCAGATGTCAACGTGATCTCTTAAAGGAGCCAGCTTTAAAGAGCAAAATGTTCTCATTTATTTTCTTCCTAGGTCTGTAAAGATTAGGTGACATCTTTTATGTTTCCCCTCTTCCTCCTTTCCCTCAAGAGGCAAAGAGTGGATTAATAAGAACAATGAATTTGAGATTTCAATCGTGGTGTTATTTATATTAATTAAGTGAATTTAGCAAGCCACTTAATCCCTCTGAGCTTCATTTTGTTATATATTTGGAGAAACTCATTACTGATCATTGTAAGGCAAGAACCTCATGAAACTGTTGTTTGCTTCTAAGCCCTAGAAAGCTTCAATGCTTTTAAGTAGAACAAGATCTTTGAAGAATCAACTAATATATTTTTATTTGTGGTGCCTCCCCCTTGTTTCTATCCATTTGCCCATTTATGCTGTCATATCATTGTTTCAAGGGAGGTCTGAAAAAGCAGAAATTCAGAGAAAAAGAAAAGAGGTGATGTGTGGCTTACGAGTTTCAAATAGGCTTTTTGAAACTCATTAGAGAGATAATAGCTTAAGAGAAAAAGAAATTTTGAATTTCAGCAGCCTTGGATTCCAGGCACAAACAGTAGATTTGAAAGAATACATGGAGAGTCAGAGCCAGTTTTTGCCTCCTGCTTTATCACCTGGCCTCCAAAACTGGACCAGGAAGGGGAAGAAGAGGAACAAAAGGAGAAGAAGCAACAGAAATAGAAATTGATGGACCTTTGACACTGTATCCTTCTGTCTCTCCCATAGGCCAAGCATGGAAGGGTGGGGAGCAAGGTGGAAATTTCAGATGCGTTGGGAAACTCCAGAGCTGAGAACACCTATGTCTCACTTTTAAGAGGCAAAGGAGGCAGCAAATGTTATGCTCCCTGGCACCCAGCATGAGGAAGGAACAATAGCGTAGAGAGAGTCTTACAGTATCTCTGGGTCCAGTGTGGCATAGAGAGCTGCCAAGAGGCTGAGAGAGCTAAACCAAGAGATAGTTTCAGGTATTGTGATCTGAGTGAAGCAAATTCCACAGTGAACGGAAGACAGCCAGGGTCCAATGGGGACACAGAAGTCTCCGCAGCCTGCAGCATGGACATTTGATGATGCTGCCTGATGACCAATGACCAGATCGCTATAGCCCTAGATGTCTGGACTTTCAGATGCTCTCCAGGACTTGACCATGACGGCGGGGAAGGGGAGAGGAGGCCCTAAATCAATAACGTAAAACCCTGAAACAGCTGAGGATTGCCTAGTGTTGCAGAGATTAGGTTTTCCCTACCCAGCAAAATCGGTAAAAGCAAGGAAAAGTTCTTTATGTATGACAAAAATACACATTTCTTGCCCGCATGAGTTTGAGGTCTGAGAATTTGTGCCCACTTGCATTTTGTACTGAACATTAAGAGCTATTTAGTACTTCTACTCAAATCTTCCTGTAATTCCAAGCTCACCTTTTTGCTTGCAGCCTCTGTGAGAATTGGAAAAAGCATGCAAAGGCTGGCACTGCTACTCCCAGGGACAACATTTTCCTTTTGTGGTTGCGAAAGAGACAAACCCCCCTACAGGGCTACTCCTCCCAGGTCCTCACCCTCCAGCCCCCTCTTCACACAGGAGCGAGTTTGTCTGTGGCCTCACCTGTTTCTGTGGACAATCTTGTTCGAGTACTCCTTTTTTCAAAAATCATGCCCAGTGACTTTCCTTGTAATAAGGGCACATACTGAAAAGCAAGGACAAGAGTACAATTAAAATGAAAAGTATGCTTTATATCTAATATCAAGGATTATGTTTCAAAACTTATTCTTTACATTTTCAGAAAATGTTAGAATACTTAATCACTGCTTCCAAGTAAATACTCAAAACACTATTTTCAAAGTGAACTTCAAGCATTTTTTTTATGTTCCATACAAATGGGGGAGAGGAAGAGGAGCTCCCCCAGCTTACTGACATGTAATTAGAAAGTCTTATTATTTGCTCTGGGTTCAACCTGAGCACTTGTTCCAAAGTACAGTAATATTTCATACTAGAACCGCCTTCTTACCTAAATCCATGGAAATGCCTATGAATGTTCAATGACCTTGAAGATGCTTGATTTGGAAGTGTTTTGTCTGCTAGGAATATGCTACCCTGTTGCAACATGGGACATGAAGACTCATAGAGTGAAGCCCAGAGTTTCACCTACACTTTCACCATGCCTCCTCATAGGAGTACAAAGGCTTTATTTCTGAAGTCCTTTGAAACAACTGGGGAGTTTGGGTGTGGTGTGGGGCTCTTCCTCCTTCTGGTTATGTAGATGGACTTCCTGATAAAATGAATTCTAAAACAAATAGATTCCTGCCAGCCAATCTCCCTCACACTCAAAGTGTGAAGAACAGGCCTGGGATCTTGGGGGACCTTTTCTCCTTATTTCCGGTCTTGTGTGAGACTGTCAACCCGTAGCCGTTGGAGTCACTCCTGTTTCCAGAAACTCCTGATCTTAGGAACTTGGGGAGCTACTAAACTAGATAAGAAAATGAAGGTTGTGTAAAACTTTCTCAACCTGAAACCAACTCTTTAAAATGCTTCTGCACAAGCTTGAAATACAAAAATGTTTTCACAATTAAGCAGTCTAAATGAAGCTGCTGCTTTAACTAAGTGTGTTTCAAACATAAATTGCTCAAAATGCAGAATGATGCTTATAGGTAAGCACCATATCCCATCTCTTCTCCTACTTGTTCACCATTTAATTATTTTTTGCTAATCTACATTTTTCCAGCACTGTCACATCATTGTGAATTTTTTGACATCATCCTAATGATCATGTATCTGTTATTCATGCACAATTGAAATTTGTTGCTAGAAAACAAAGTCTCAGCCTTGTTTTTAACTTGATAGAAAACATGCAGAGAAAAGAAAGGAGATATAAAAATAAAATCTTTCTGGAGGAACAGCTCCTTAGGTTCTGATATAGTTAGTAATGAATGTCAACTCTCCAAATGAAAGAAGTACAATGACTTGTCATTTAATAACTGATTTTTATGCTTTTTATGTGCCTGCACACTCAGTAATAATCAAGTACCTTGACTGTGTAGTTTCATTACTTAGCTACTGTTTAGGAATCTTAATGTATTTTCTTTTCCCTCTTTCTTTGGAAAGGCTGTCTTTAAAATGGCTTACTGGTGGTCGTGGAAGAGAAGACGAAAATGCTACACACCTCTCCTTTCTGTTTTATCCTAAATTTCAGATCTGCTGATAACCACAGCATATACTTGATTTCTTCTCCTGTAAAGTTCTTCAGAGTGAGAAGGTCACGACCTTTCAGCTGTACTTTGTTTTGTAGTGGTTGTCCACAGCTACAACAAAAGGAGAAATACATATTTAAGGAAAAAACCCATGTCCTATGGTGATTCGTTGTTTTATTCTTGAAATAAAAAGTAGCAAATCACATGTAGCCTCATGTGTCTGTGCAAAGGGCTCATGCATTAAAATTGATAGGGCTGCATGGTCCATTTTAGTTACCCAGTATTTTGGATGTCGATAGAAAAGAAAAATTTGAGTGGAGAGGTAGAATTATTATTTACTAGTTATAGTCATATGGGTGCTTTGCTAGACTTACTAGCTGGGCAACTTCATGCAAGTTACTTAACCTCTCTCTGAAAGCCGCAGTTTCTCACTAGAAAATGACAATAACAACTTCTAGGGTTGACAGGATGAAATGATATAATATAGTATTGATATAAATGAAATCATATAGTACCTGACATATAATAAGCATTTGATAAATTTTAGCTATTATTGAAATCCTTAGATTACACAAACAGAATTTATAATGTACATACAATAGAAACAACTTCATTCTTTTTCACCTACTGCCCTTCAAATCTATTCTTGGAAATTTGTTCTTTACTTGTCCCTGTTCAAATACAATGGACCCTGTGGCTTTTCTAGTAACTTTCATAAAAAATGTTTTAAAAGTCCTCTGCTTACTTAATCTCTCAAAGAGTCTCAGTAAAATAATGTGTAATAATAGTAATGATTTTTTTACCTTTCAGAAATGTACTGCAAGTTAGTTAAAACTTTCTTCCTTCCAGCTCATGCCTAATTCAAGCTGGTCTCCTTTACAGGGAGAAGAGGGAACCTGGGCTGTTTCCTCTGTCTCCTTGCCTTCAGTTTCTACCAGTAAAGTCAAGGGAAGGTGAGGAGTTAAGGGCCAGGCAAAGTGTGATTCTGTTCTAGCAATCTGGCATTGGTGTAAGTGCCTGAGACTGACTCTTTCTCTTGTGGGAATGCCCTTATCACTGGGAATTTCTCACAGCAGTCCTCGAAGGCCAATAATTACATTTCCTCTGCCACCTAAGGGAATACTTTTCCAAGACTCTTTTTGCTGTGATCTCCCCACCCCTTCATGAGGTCTCTTGGTCATGATGTGAAACAGTACCATGCTAGGTCTCTTTCTCAATCCATATTGGTTCATGGGAAGCCCTTGTGACCTTTGTTCTGCCAAGAGTCAGGTCCATCCCAGTCTAGACTCTTCTCTTGTTCTGTCGCCAAAACAGCTAGCCAGCCAATCCTTCTTCCTTTAGATTTCCCAAGTATAGGCTTGGCATCAGTGTACTGTGTCTCCAAGCTTTCCCATTGAAGAGATTGGTGCCATTGGGGCCACTTTTTCTAGGTTTAAGGTGAGGGAAGAGTACCCCTCCATGTGGGGCACATCATACACAATGGTAACACTTCAAAAATCTTCTAATCTACAACCCATCTCTTAGTATCTGAAATCCATTTGAGAAGCTGGAGGTGGTCACCAATGGGTTGCAAAACTACCTCTTATTATCTCCTTTGCAAGTCCTGTTTTAGTGGTCTAGCATTTCACTTTGGAATGAGGAAGGGTCAGAACCTATTAGGCCTGGACATAAACAGAGGCAGAAAGGCCCATTTTAATATTGTGATGACAGTAATTGTTGCTTGGGATGATCGATATGTAAAACAGACATTTATTCTTTCATTATTCCCAGTGTTATCTTTATAATAATAATAATTAGTACTTATACCACTAGAAATTCTGAACAACTAGGATCAAATTGCAGTTCACTAATGTATTGAACATTAATTTTAGTAGGAGTATAAAACAACTGTTACAAAAAGATCATGCTTAAATACCAGCCTAAGAAAAGAGCCTGTGCTCTTTGAGATGAAAAGTAAATTCTCTGGTGGGATTTAGTTATGTCTTTTTGCAATGGTGACAAGATGATAGGTTGGAAAATCACAAATGCACTCAAATTGTTGTTTCCACTGCATGATGTCAAATAACTTAAACAAATGACTCTTTCACTAAATGTCCAACTTTCTGGCAGAGTTGATTGGTTCACTTAATGTTCAGTAGTTATGAATACATTTTTCTCAGTAGACCTTTTGTGAGATCAAGCCCTTCAGAGATTCCAGTTAGTAGGGAAAGGAACATTCATAAAAACCAAGGGTTTGTGATAAGTTGGCTAATGGTTGACTGATTGATTTAATATATTAATGACATTTTCAACTCCAACAGAAATTAGTGTTTTCAGTTTATATGTAGAGCAAGTTTTGGGCAACATTCCTATTTCAAAGATGTGCCATTGTCTTCAACTTTTAAAAATATATGACTCGTATGCCGTCCAGATGGAAATTTCCTTGAAACAGTGCTCCTCAATTTTGTTTGTTACAGATGACGACATTGAAAAATTTTGAACATAGATCTACAATGTATGTTTACTTATTTATAATAAATGGGTTACTATCCTAATGATGCACATTACAAAACATAAAAATAAATAAAAATGGAGAAGTTTAGAATAAGTAGAACCAAATATTTTAAAAGTGAACTTACAAGCATACAAAAATATTTTACTGGCTAAAGAAGTTTCTAGAACAGACTTTCATTTTCTTCCTTCTACTGAGACCCTAGTAAAAAGCTTATAAAACTGAGTCCAAGACTGGATAGTAGCAATAGTAATTTGATAATTAGAGACATAGCATTTAGGCAGGAAATTTTTTTTTACATCTGTATTTTGATTACATGTTTTGTTCTGATCATATTAATTAGTGATAATTTTAAGCAACACTTGGAATATACAAATACTGATATTGTTGAGATGTTAACCTTTTGACTGATATTCATGCATTTCTCAGGGTCAGCTGGATTCTTCTGGGGAATCTGTAAAAAGGTTTAACATGTCTGGCCTGGAATGGACAGCTTAATTTTTCCCAATTCGCATTTAGAGTAGCCTTGAAAATAGTTTTTTCTTCTGGGATAAGATCCAAGCAACGTAAAATCACGGAGGTTAAACTCTCTTGACTGTATGTCTTACAATAAAACATTAATGTTCCATGGCTTCAGACTTCCTCCAATATTAGTTTTAAAGGGGGGGGGGGAATCTTTGCTGGAAAACCCTGCTCCCTAGGATTCAAGGAATTTGGGAAACCTCACTATGAACTCACATCCATCAGCAACAGGGAAAACAACCCAGGAGCTAATTCTGAGGCCTTATTTTTTGCCTAGAGCTCAAGCTCAGACTCCCAGTTATTTGGGATCCCACAAATGCTGAATGTCCAAACTGCTACACTTGAGGATTCAATACCCAGCCCCACTCTCAGCCCTTGCAGGGTTTGGTTGTATCTATTTTCTAAATCCTCACAGAACTATAAGTTTCATTTAAAAGAATATCATACATCTTAGAATTGTGGTGGTGTTTCTATTGAATCTCAGAGAAAAAGAATTGGACATGAGAAGGAAACGGAAAATTTGCAGGGAACTAAATTTTCTCCCATTTCCATTAAAGGCAATAGGAAATTAATGATGAAAGAGGAGGCCCAATGACACCTTTAGCTACTTCAAAAAAGCTCCAACTTCCAGCTCTTATCACCCAAACAGAAGACAGATAGGGAGAGGTAAAAGGTCTCTGGGGTTTTCTCAGATATGCCCTTTCCACACTTCAAGAAGTTTTTTAGTTGGAGCTGGGGTTAAGGCTGGGTTGAGGGTGAGGGTTAATGTTCTGCTGTTGGGATCTCATTGTGAGATGATGCTCTTTTTATTTCTCCATTGACGGAGTTGGGTTTAGAGCCTGAAAGAAGATACAAACATCTTGCTTGAATCTTCCCTTTTTGTCCAGACCTTTCATTTAAAAATGTGTATGGCAACAGAAACCTTATTTCAGATTCATTTTCTTCGACCACAAGTGATTTAGACGAATACCTCCTCATGCCTGCAGTCTCCACGTGGCAGCCGCTGACAGTGTTGCTCTCACTCTTGTTGCCCTGGAATCTCACCTCCAGTAAATGTTAGCAGATAACCTTTTTTAAAAAAATACGGACAGTTCTGGCTTTGCACAGTAGTGTGGGACTGTAAATAACCATTAAATCTGAAACCTTAATAATCAATGGAGAAGATCATAATTGTTCTGTGACTTTCAAATTGTTTGTCAAAACCTTAAAAATCCTCTTATTGTCAGTTATAAATGCATAGGGTAATGAAAAAATATAGTAAAACCTATATCTATTTAGTACGCTGTAATTTAAAACATTAGAAACATAGAGAATTATAGCACTTGATTTCTTTGTACAAAACTATCAAGAGTAGTTTGAATAGTTCATGCCAACTGCAGAGCATATAATTTACAATCCGGAGCAAAAGATCTTGTCTATGCTTTGGTACACTGTCACACTCCTTTCTAAGTTTGGATCAACTTCCAACATATCCTTTGCACCTTCGCTGTTGTGAAGTATCTTGAAGAATTCCCTTAGTGTGAATTGTTTTTGCTAGCAGCACCTGCTCTAGAACAACTTCGTTCTGGTTGCACAGCTAGAGTCCCTCAATCCCTAGCAGGGTCAATAATCCCAATGTCAGCTCTTTCTTCTATAAATACATTCACATTTGATTCAAATTTAACTGCTTCTGTTGTTTTATTTCTTTGTTGCACTTCCATCTCTGTTGGACAATTCCCTCTTGTCGTTATCCGTTTTTATAAAATGTAGCGTAGGTTTATCTCTGAGAGAAATGAAAGCAGCACAAATATACTCTTTGCTGTTTGTTAGCTTGGATAACAGATATGCAGTGAGCAATCACCAAAGACTTTGAAAGAAGTGATGCGATTGGTCACTGATCATGATGTGCATCTGTTATTTACACAGTGATTTGTGGACTGAAGGGCTAATGATGAAGCTTTCACTTTATGCAGCTACTCACATTTAATATACCATAGCAACTAAACTTGAACTGTGTACTTGGAAACCTGGTGTTATTTAACTCAACTGTGATAAGTGAAATTCTTGCATATTGGGACCATGCAAAGGAAGGACTGCCTGCACTCCAAATGCTTTCCCA